GTCACACACACATACTGAGCACTGCACCACCGTCCCTGTGGGAGGGTGGGGATCCTGCCCCCCGTGTCCCCCCCCCATCACCTGCACGAAGCCGAAGGGGAGGAGTGGCTGTGTCTGCCCGGCCGATGCGGCGTGGAAAGCCCGGCGCCAGTCGGCCACGAGCGCGGGGAAGGTGCAGTTGTAGAGGTCTGTGTGCAGGAGGGTATTGGCCTCGCCTGGTCCCGAGAGAAAGGGCTCAGTGGGGCTGCTCCGTGCCAAGGAAGGGTGTTGGGGGGGGGAAATTCCCTGGGGGAGGGGGCTTACCCTGGTACCAAGCAACACCCCGCAGAGTCATGTTGAGCAGCGGGTGGATCATGGCGTTCCAGAGCACAGAGGGGGTTTGAGGGCCAGAGAAGTCTGGGTGCTGGGAGGTGCTGGAAGACAAAACTGGGTTCAAGGGGGTGCAAAACCCAAGCTGAGGCTCCAGGAGCAGACCTTGCATTAGGTCAACAACCACCATTAGGAAGGAATTTTTCACTGAGAGAGTGGTCGGGCATTGGAATAGGCTGCCCAGGGAGGGGGTTGAGTCACCATCCCTGGATGTATTTAAGGGATGTTTAGATGGGGTTCTGAGGGATATGGTGTAGGGGAGGACTTTGTAGAGTAGGGTAGATGTTTGGACTCGATGATCCCAAGGGTCTCTTCCAACCTGAATGATGATTCTATGATTCTTGCAGGGGCAAAGCAAATGCTGCCCCAAACAGGGAGCACTGGGATCCCCATCTTCCCCTGTGCTGTGCCCTACGCTCTTGGCAGAGAAGATTTTACCCTGTTTTTACCCCACGGAGGGGTCAGTGTGGCTCTGGGATGGGAAGGGGGTGATAATGCCTCCTAAAAGCAGCACAGTGTGGGGCAGAAGGTGTTTCTACCATGTCTTCTCTCACCTCCCTGTGTCCTCCAGGAGCCCACAGGCCTGCAGAGCCCTTTGGGAGGACCAGGCTTCGATGGGAGTGCCCCCCCAAGCTGCCTCCACCAGCCCAATGGGGTACCCCAGAGCCTCGTAGAGGTAACGCCCCAAGAGCCAGCAGACAGCCGAGAAGTGGGTGAAATTCCCATGGCCCAGGTTTTCTGGTCAAGAAACGGCAAGCTGCAAAGGGGGAAAAAAAAGGGGAGAAAAAAGCCTTTTTTTTTTGGTTTTTTTTTTGGAGGCACGTTGCACTCACCGGCTGTCGGGATGGACCATGGAAGCTCAATGCCCTCCAGGTCCTCCAGCTCCACGTCCGAGCGGGTGGGCGCCGCAGCGAAGATGCGGACGTAGGGATAGTGAGTGGCATCAGCGAGCTCCCGGCTGGCATTGACGATCTAGGGAAGGGTTGGGAGCACACGAGGCGCTTCCTTCCTTTCCCCATCTCTGCCCGGTGGCTACCCTGGCCGGCAGGATCAGGCCCTGCCACGGGGACCTACCTGCAAGACCGTCATCACCATGTTGCTCTGCCCGCTGCAAAGCCAGACGTCCCCAAAGTAGACGTCTCGTAGCGTCACGTTCTCCGAGCCCTGGCCGGCCGTCAGCGTGTAGGGACCGCCCTGATCCATAGGGTCCAGGACAGTTGTCCACGTCCCAGAAGGTCCTGGGAGAAGAAAATGCTCCTTATCTTTCATGACCCCTGCAAAGACCTCAAGACCTTCACAGCAGTGGGATGAGTGGCCAGCAATGGGTGGGGATGGAAAACAAGGGAAAGGTTCTCCACTGTGGAGCTGGGCTGGGGAAATCATAGAATCACAGAATCCTATGGGGTTGGAAGGGACCTCTGGAGATCATCTAGTCCAACCCCCTGCCAAAGCAGGTCCACCCAGAGCAGGTCCCACAGGAATGTGTCCAGGTGGGGTTTGAATGTCTCCAGAGAAGGAGACTCCACCACCTCCCTGGGCAGCCTCTTCCAGGGCTCTGCCACCCTCACAGGTAAGAAGTTCCTCCTCGCATTTAGGTGGGACTTCTTATACTCAAGTTGAAATGGATTTGGGGAGCTCCTCGCCATCTGAGGGACTCTCCTCCTGCAGGAACTTAAGGGTTAAAAAGAAAATCTCGAAGACAAATGTGTGTCAGAGCAGAAGCTGCCGGGAGGAACTGGGATTACAGGAGCAGCTTGGTGTGTGTGACACTGAGATGTCTCCAGCTAATTTTAGAGGCGCCAAATCGAGGCGTAAAGATATTCTGCTGGAGCTTAGCGTGGATTTTCTGGCCTGGCTGGGGCTGGATCCTGCAGATCTCCCAGCAGCAGTGGATCGTTGCTCCCTCAACAAGACGCCTCCAGGTTCTCCAGTGCGTGGAGGAGCCCGTTAGGCAGCAGTTTCACCCTCAAAAAGGTGATGAGCAGCACCTCGAATCACTAGGCAGGGAACGAGGCCACCAGCTGAGATGCGAGGCGCCTCCAAAGCCCTGAAGCCTTGAGGAAGGCTCTGCCTGCAGAGGTGATGTCCTTCAGGCCTTTAAGATCCTCCGAGGTGGCGGTGGGGCAAAAAAAGCAGCCAAGAGATTTCCCTGGAGATGGTTTTGACAGGGAGAAGGGCTAAATCCCCCCCGGCTCCCCTCCGCAGCCCCAGCGGTTGGCTCCAGCCCACGCCGTGCCATCCCCTCCAGTGGCACCTTGGTGGGACAACCCAGTGAGGAATGGTCGGTGCTGGCTGAACCCCACACCCCCAGATATCCTGGAGAAGGGGCAAGTGCAGCCCCAGAGGCACACAAACCAGAGATGTCACCGTCGCTGTCACCTCTGCAACCCCACCCCACCAGCAGGTCCCATTTGGCTCCTCAGCCGCCAAAACCACCAGCCCCAGTTGCCTGGGGAAGAAGGTCCACGACTGACCTTTAACTCGTGCCATCTTCTTCATGACGATGAGGCCACCGTCACCAGAGAGAACCACGGTCACGGTGGCCCCCGGCTCCCCATAACCCCACACCACGGCCCCCGTCGGCTCCTTCTGCAACACCATGTGGTGGCCATAGTAGGAGGCGAAGCCAAGCATCACCCCTGGGATCAACAGAGAGCACAAACGTTGTTGACAAGAGGCAAAAAGCAACGAGAAAAACCCCTGCCATGGCCTCCCACTCCCTCTTCAACGGAGATCATTTCAGATCCTGCTTAATTTATAGTTTCCTTCATTCCTGGTCAACCTTAAGGTGGTTAAAAGCAGTGAAGAGCTGAGGAAGCGGCAAGATTTGAAGTCCCCAGGAGAGGGAAGTCCCCTTGGAGCTTGTGTTCCCCAGTTGGGATACAGATTTTGGTGGGTATTTCTTCTAAAAACCATACAGGGGCATCTCTGCCTGCCCAGCCTCGCTGATACGTACGTTCTGACTTATTTTTTGCCCTTGCAAAAAAAGTTTGGGGAGTGGCGGGGTGGGAAACACCGGACAAAGGCACCTTCAGCGGGGAGGGAAGCGGAGGTCTCAGCCCTGGCACCCTCAAAAGCCCTGTTTTGGGGGGTGTGTGAAAATAAAACCCCACTACTAAGGGGGTGGGGGCAAGGTTTGCAGGGCACGGGGGGAGCGGGCTGCACAGCGAGCCCCCTTGTAGCTGCCCCACCGGCTCCTGCAACGAGGCTCCGGGAAGGACAAGTTACATAAAAAAAAAAAAAAAACAACCCAAAAAAAACCCGAACGAGTCGGAGGAGAGGAAAAAAATAAAAAAATAACCCCCGAGACGCTGGGGAAGAGAGTGGGACTATAAAAAGCGGCTGGGAGGAGGGAAGGGAGGAGAGCCCACGAGATGCCGCCGCCAAGGAGCCGCATGCGACTCCTGCCTTACGTAAAGATTGTCCCACAGCAGCAACAGCTTGCCAAGGGCGTCGAAGGGGGGCTGGGGGGTGCCCAGGGCATCGAAGAGGGGCTGGGGGGATGCCCAGGGCATCGAAGAGGGGCTGGGGGGGCACCCAGGGCATCAAAGAGGGGCTGGGGGGGCACCCAGGGCATCAAAGAGGGGCTGGGGGGCACGCCAAGGG